GATTTTGAACTAGTAAGAATAAACTGCATAAAGATCAAAAGATTATAATGTATATTGACGTGAAAAACAAAAAAAAACATAAGACTTNATACCTTGGAATTTTTTTCTTCTTCTGTGATAGAAAGGAAATAATGTTTGAATGTGTTCGGAAGTTTTTTTTTATATGATGGACAAATGTTTGAATGGTGTTACGAAGGAATGGAGAGAATGCTATTTATAATACTATTATATGTATTTATATGTTTCTTCCGTAAATTGTGCCGTGAAAATAGAAAATAATTTTTCACTTACTTAATTGAATTGACAGATTTCTTCTGCTTTTGGAGAATTTTGTTTTTTCTTTTTTTCATTCACTTTCACGTGATTGGTAAAAAATTAGATAATACTCCATATTTTTGTTTCTTCTTTTTTCTTTTCTGCGGTAGGGTGTTAACAGTCACCCCTTTTACTAGTTTCTAAATGTGAATACTTTATAGTATTACTTCGCTTTGTCAACCTACTTTATTTTAAATTTTCAAGGCATAAATCATAGCTTTAAGAATAAAATTCCAATAGAAAAACGTACGCCAAAAAAAAAAAAATATCACGTTTGAAAATCAACAATAAATAGTTGATAGAGATAATTCACATTTCATTTGTTGATTTGTTCAGTTAGGTTTGTATCATTGTAAGATTGATTAATGGTGTGTAGTATATAATAAATCTTAGTCGAAGGGTAACATCGTAATTAAAACAGCTTTACGTAAGTGGGGTTTTTAGTCTAAAACCGGAACAGGCGATAACCGGTGAAGAAGAAGGTGAAACAAAGGAGAGAGAAAACTGACACGTGTCGGTATTCTGGATTTGCGTGATTCACGGGTTTACAGTAAAATTAAAATGACTCGTCGTCTAGCTCTGTACGCTCTTTTGTTACTCAGTTTTTGTTGCTCAGACTATTTTCTCACCGACGATTTTGTTTATACGTCATCGTTTTGGTTCACTTGCTTTTTTTTTTTATTTGGGGAGATTGAAAAAAAAAGGTTAAACAATTAGTAGTTTAATGGTGGTTACAGTGAACCTTTTCCAACAAACGGAATGTTTTGAATTCCTCCTATTTAGTTTATTGAAAGAATTAAAATAAAATATTTATAGTGTAATGAGAGGTTTCATTTGAATCTAGTCAAACTTTATTGACCCAGACCTTGGATTAGCATATGTAAAGAAAAATGTGGTTAATTGTTGATTTGGAGAAGTAAGTGATAGGGTGAGATTTTG